ACAACGACCAAAACTTACCGCCTTGTGTTATATCGACCAATCAGCACGTTTTTCAAGGCAGAATTTCAAACACGACCAATCACATTAAACAGAGACAGGGCATAATTGAAAAAGTTCATTACACTTAAAATCTTAATTCGAAAGATGTTTGCTCCCAAATGAGTTAACTAAACATAGCCTACCCGTTTAATCTTTGACACCAAAACGTGGCATTTTAAGTAATGTTAAGTTATGATAACTTGATTTCTTTTTTTAATGACAACATTGGGGTGTACAGTGTAGTGGATGTTGACTGTAGTTCATGTACAGAGCTTGTGCTGTTTTCTCATGTTGTGGATGTCTGGCACAGTAATACACAGCTGTGTCTTCAGTCTTTAGATTTTGTCCTGTTGCTGGAGTCACTTTTGGAGATGCTGAACTTGTTTGACAGTGAGTCTTTTTTCGTTATGCCTCCACCTCCCCATATGTGCACAATCCACTCCAGAGCTTTTTCTGCAGGATGTGTGTCCAGGCTGTTGTGTAGCTATCATCAGTAACAGAGTATCCAGACACCTCACATGTGAGAGTGAGTGAGTGACCCGGCTGCAGACCTATAGAGTTAGTCGGTTTCAGGACAATTTATTTAATTTAGTCATTTAGCAGACGGTTTTATCCAAAGCAAACTTACAAATGAGGAAAACAGAAGCAATCAATCGTAGTATTAAAACAACTAAAAACAGAGCCAAAACTTTATAAATACTACCTATACACATTTTAAAAATAAAGAGATTAAATAAAAATGCCAAATGCATACAACTTAACATTGAAATGAAAAACAAAAATAAAACCAAAAACAAATTCAAAATACCAAAGAACAAAAGGTGTAAGGAGCACAACATTGACTCCAACATAACACCAAGCACCAAAAAAAAAAACCTACATGTGTATGTACAACCACACACAGTACATGTACATCCATAAATGCAACATTATTTCATTTCCATCCAGCCGGCCGAAGCACTAAAACTCCTCAAATCAACAAACACATATACAGACAAAGTAAAATCAAAATAAAATATAGCTGCAAGCAGCGATGGCGGGCCCAAGCCGTCAGTGCAAACGCCACCCCGGAGGCATCAGGAGAACGGTGCACAGCGGGCACATGGATTTACACTAACCGTCTGTCAGTCTGGTTTTAAGAGATACGGCAATTAAAGGGTTAATCCAAACCATCAAGACTGTGAAACACACATACACAGAACAATATATAAAACTTTAGTAACACTTTACAATACGGTTTCAGTTATTAACATTAACTATATTAATTAACATGAACAATAATTATATAGCATGTATTAGTCAGTTAATATTCAAAAGTTAAACATTAAATAAATTGGCACACTGTGAATCATTAGTTAAGCATTAGTAAATAGTCAATTCA